GTAAGCGACGCCGCCTTCAGGGAGTAGTTCCCGGACCCTCTCTACGAGGTCGTGTAAGCTCACCCGCTTTTGGATGTGTGCGCTTTTAAAGGCCGATTTTGTGGCATTTATTATGCCCTATCTAGGTTATTTGATCCAAACGCTTCCTTCGTGCTACCCTTGGGTGACAGAATCATCTCAGGAAAAAAAAATCTTAGGAACCTTTTCTAGCGTATAGTAGGCTTCTACGCTACATCATCACATTTTAATTGCAGCAAAATTGCAGCAAATTTGAAATCAAAGTAATTCCTGTGTAGAACTCACTGTGATGTTTGATGTGTTAACTTCACCAGGAACTTTCCTGCTTTCACGCCACAAGATTCGATTTCCTATTTGGGAGAACAGGCGGAATACTTACTTTTGAACACGGGCATAAACGAAAAAGGCAATTCGGAGATACTTGAAAAATAGAGCTCAGTAAAAGAAGCTCTCAATTATTCATTATATTAGAACATGTACATCCGTATACTCCAGCTTTTGGAGTGACCGTAATGAAAGAGAAATAAGGAGTTTGCACTTTGAGCTGTTAAATTCACTCGAAGTTCAGTTTTGGATTGGCACGTCGCCTTCTGACTCAAACGTCAGCGACTTCCCTTCAATTTAGGAACAGAGCTACGGGGTCGGGAGAGTTTGCATGGTACCGAGAATAGTTTTTCCGTGTAGCCACATCAGTTTGTTTATCAGGACTACACAGTCAGTCCCCCTCCCAAGATATGCCCACTGTCCTCCTCCCGAGATATGCCCATACGCCACTTCAGATTGTTCTTCAGGACTACACTGTCCTCCTCCCGAGATATGCCCATACACTTCAGATTGTTCTTCAGGACTACACTGTCCTCCTCCCGAGATATGCCCATACTTTAGGGACTTTACCACTCATCCAGTGTGGATAAACATAAGCTCACGGCTTTGACTGATTCTCTTGATTATTAGTGGGAGGGGGATGACAGTTTTTTGAAACCTCTACTCTTTTCAGGAGGACTAGAAACCTTCAGAATGAAGCGATAAATTGCTCCATCTTTTCCCTAGATGATTTACCTGCATAGGCCCTCCATCCGTTCATTTACACTTTGAAGTCCCCACTGCATCAATTGGGTGATTTCAGCTTGAAGATGTTGGGCAATTGTGGCACATTGTTCGGCTAACTTGAATCCAACTGACGACCAACATTTCAAAACCACATCGCGAAATTCTGAAGGTTGCCGACTTATGAGTATTTTCAACTGACAACGAAAATCCATTGACAAGCTTACCTGAGTCATTTCTGAAATCGTGACAGATAATGTTCCAAGACTCCTGCCCACTCTGCAAGATACGTTTTGCTGGATTCTCGGGACACAGCGATAAGCAACGCTGATAAACTGTATTCAATCTGTAAAAAGTGAGTATTAGTGTTGAAAATAGATTTTTAGGAGTGGTTCAATCGCAACTAGCGCTGATCGCACTTTCATGAACAGAGTTCGAATCCCGGTTCGATATCCGCCTAAGCCGACCAAGCGGTCGATTCCTCGGGAAAGTGCTACTAGCCTTCTGATGCTGTAGTGAATTATAGGACCTTGGGGATGAATTCAATCATGATCATTCCTTTCCTGATAGTATTTGGCAAAAGTCGTACTGAAGATCTCACTTTCAAGTGATGAGAAAGCCAGTTGACGTACCACTCTCTTTACTGTTTTTTGATTGATCGCTGTTGAAAGTATTGCATCTCTGGCTCAGATTAAATGGTCTCGATTCAAACTGCGCGTCGAACAATGTCAAAAATGGGAAGGTGGTGCAGTGGCAGGCGTCCAACACTATCACGCCGTGGTACCGCGTTCGAACCCGGATAGGTACCTACTCAGGAAAACAAGCATACCATTCTCGGAGGTTGATTAAATCACGCCAGACTTCTATAAAAAAAGCACTGAACTGTACATCTGTTCGCCCACTTAAGCCTACCCATATACAAGCCAAATAGGCATTCTTGAAGCCATTACATTCTTGTTAGGGAGTCGAATGAGGGAAGCATCCAAAAACGGAATTGATATATGGAAAGATCTTCCAAGTCTTTTTTTGAATAGCTTCGTACATATACATTTACACACAGTGTATGATTCTTCCAGAGGAGCTCTCTATCGGATGATCAACACTGGGGAGATGGAGGGCTCCATTGGCCTCTGGGGAAGTGACCTAGGTTTCGAGGCTTCAAGTACCATTCAGAAACATCCCATATCCTCTTGAAAGGCAAAAAGTGAGGGAGAGTCTAGATCAAAAGTGTTAGAACAAGATGAATCAATTCAATTTGAACAGTGACCATACCAGCTAGTTACTGTCATTCCACTAGAAGAAGTTCGCCGGATTTGTTCTGTTTCCCCGAGTTGACCTCATACAAACATCAAGGAAAGGCTTCTTTTGTTCGGAATCACATTTAGAACTTAGTGCTTTGTTGCTTTTGAGGCATGCGGATTACATAGAGTCCGAAGATTTATTTGGAATGGTCCTACCAAATCTTTGGACAACAACTGTCGCCAGGAAAAGCTCACGGAAATGGGTTACGTTTCTTAAAGATTTCTTTGAGGCATTGCCGCTCGAAATGTATAGGAATTCGTGTCCTTGGGTAACTACGGCAATGCCTTTATTAGGCGATACCTTATCGGTATTTCATTGCTCGAACTATCCCAGAATGATACGTAGGCTGCCTTTTATATTTCGGGATTTGAGAACAGGGACAAATACTATTTAATGAAAATCGCTTGACTGCCTTTCAAAATTCTCTACATTAAGATCTATACACTTTTGTATGGGCTCCAACCAATTTTCGAAGCACTTTGCCACTCTGATGTAGGTAACTCTAAAACATGGATTCTGAACGCATCAACGGTTTCTTCAGGTGTCGAAAAACGTTGACCTCTCATTTTATTTTTTACGTATTGGATGAGAAGAAGTCACCCGGGGGCTACATGGCTGATGACCTGTCAAATC